TTTATCTTTCTCTTCAATAATATACCTAAGTTGTGAAAATTCAACGAGAGGTTGATTCTCTTCTACAACATCTCTCTCAAAAATCAAACTAAATTCAATAAAATTTTTTTATTTTAATTTTATTAAAGTAATAAATTAAAATAAACAAAAATTATTGAGTTTAATCACATAATTATTGAGAAACCTTTGCTAGAAAATTTAAAAAAATTTAAAATTTATTACAATAGCCAATCACAATTAAGGAATCAAATGTTCTAAATAACAGGTCTGTGAAAACCTGTTAGTACCACTGGTGAGCTTTAATATACCAGCTAGATCTACATGACGAAATAATTTGTAAGTGGCAGTAGATTGTATTTACAATTTCAATTTGTAAACTTAGTTTGCAGGTCTCGATTTTACAAATTAACAAATGATTATATTTACTAGTTTAATTAATGCGATTGAAATAAATGATCATTATCCTTATTAACAAACTAATAAGATCGAAGTGATCATGTAACAAAATTCCTAACGTTCTTATTAAAATATTTTTTTTTAGAAAAAAATTAAAACCCATGTCACCAAATCATGAATAGTTAGTTGGTAGTATAAAAGCTAATAGTATAATTTGTATGGCCTAAAGTATAATAGTGAACAGTTATATGATTAAATATTTTATATTAAATATATTTCAATTACCATCAAAACAAATAGAAAAAGTTCAAATAAAGAAATTCTTACACGGTTGGTCATAATTAAGTTGAAAAGATTATGATATATGAATTAGATTTTTTAAAGTGGACAAATGCCATATCGGTCCAGTGATCACTACATATTTAAAAATGATTAACAAAGTATGACAGACAATCTAAATTTGGAAATGATGTTCGGTGGCTTAGCCTAACTTAAAAAAATTTTTTATACAGCTTTAGATTACGAAACTTTCTCATAATTACTCAGAACCTATCAATTAAACCGGTTCAAAAAAAAAGAAACCAAAAGATCGTAGAGTGGTCTATATACTGTTAAAATTAATCAAAAATAATCACAGTATTTCGTCTTTTAGCTCAGAGAACAGTTTCTTAAGAAATGGAAGGTGCTCCAAGTCAAGATTCCACCAAACACTGCATAGTTGAAGTTTGTAAGAGAGGAATAGCGACTGGATGGAGAAAGATAACTGATAATGTACTCAGTAAAGCAGAAACAAATAGAACCCTGGCTTCATATTATGTAGATCGCAAAGGCAAGTATATGTGTATAAGCTGTTATAACGGGATTGTAGTAAATGGAAGTGATATTTTTAAAAATTATGCATTAGAATGGGAAAGAGTATTAAAAAAACATAGAAAGAATGGCAATCTTTCTATGTCTGAAAGTATTATGTTAATGGCTAATTTTATTTTTCAGAGAGATGTTGTAGAAGAGAATCAACCTCTCGTTGAATTTTCACAACTTAGGTATATTATTGAAGAGAAAGATAAA